TCAGGTCTCCTCACACTGCTGGTGTGTTCCAAACATTTTTTGTTCATAGGGTGCTGGCAGATTACGGGCATTCCTATAGCTGCGCCAGGCCCCGAATCTGCCTTGGGCCCCTGTACCGCCTCACTCATGCTGCTGCCCAGGACCAGAGTCTCTCATGGGTCCCTGTTACGGCCTCCCATTGCTGCTGTCTCCATCGCCACACTCTGCCATGTGCCACTTTCAGGTTTCTCCTCACAACACTGCTGGTGTGTTTCCATTTTTTGTCATAGGGTGCTGGCAGATTACGGGCCTCCCGATAGCTGCTGCCAGGCCCATTATCTGCATTGGGCCTATATACAGCCCTCTCCATGCTGATGCCCCAGGTACCAGAGTCTCCTCATGTGTCTGCTGTACGGCCTCCACATTGTGTCTCCATCGCCACACTCTGCCATGTGCCACTTTCAGGTCTCCTCTCCACACACTGCTGGTGTGTTCCATTTTTTTGTCATAGGGTGCTGGCAGATTACGGGCCTCCCATAGCTGCTGCCAGGCCCCTAATCTGCCATGGGCCCCTATACCGCCTCCTCATGCTGCTGCCAAGGTCCAGAGTCTCTCATGGGTCCCTGTACGGCCTCCCATTGCTGCTGTCTCCATCGCCACACTCTGCCATGTGCCACTTTCAGGTCTCCTCACACACTGCTGGTGTGTTCCATTTTTTGTCATAGGGTGCTGGCAGATTACGGGCCTCCCATAGCTGCTGCCAGGCCCCTAATCTGCCATGGGCCCCTATAACGCCGCTCCTCATGCTGCTGCAGGTCCCAGTGTCTCATGGGGTCCCTGTTACGGCCTCCCATTGCTGCTGTCTCCATCATCGCCACACTTGCCATGTGCCACTTTCAGGTCTCCTCACACTGCTGGTGTGTTTCCATGCTGCCAGGTCCAGAGTCCTCTCATGGGTCCCTGTACGGCCTCCCATTGCTGCTGTCTCCATCGCCACACTCTGCCATGTGCCACTTTCAGGTCTCCTCACACACTGCTGGTGTGTTCCATTTTTTTTGTCATAGGGTGCTGGCAGATTACGGGCCTCCCATATAGCTGCTGCCAGGGCCCCTAATCTGCCATGGGCCCCTATACGCCTCCTCATGCTGCTGCCAGGTCCAGAGTGCTCTCATGGGTCCCTGTACGGCCTCCCATTGCTGCTGTCTCCATCGCCACACTCTGCCATGTGCCACTTTCAGGTCTCCTCACACTGCTGGTGTGTTCCATTTTTTGTCATAGGGTGCTGGCAGATTACGGGCCTCCCATAGCTGCTGCCAGGCCCCTAATCTGCCATGGGCCCCTATACCCGCCTCCTCATGCTGCTGCCAGGTCCACAGTCTCTCTGGGTCATGCGGCATGTGCTGTCTCCATCGCCACACTTGCATGTGTTTCTCCTCCTCACACACTGCTGGTGTGTTCCATTTTTTGTCATAGGGTGCTGGCAGATTACGGGCCTCCCATAGCTGCTGCCAGGCCCCTAATCTGCCATGGGCCCCTGATACCGCCTCCTCATGCTGCTGCCAGGTCCAGAGTGTCTCTGGGTCCCTGTACGGCCTCCCATTGCTGCTGTCTCCATCGCCACACTCTGCCATGTGCCACTTTCAGGTCTCCTCACACTGCTGGTGTGTTCCATTTTTTTGTCATAGGGTGCTGGCAGATTACGGGCCTCCCATAGCTGCTGCCAGGCCCCTAATCTGCCATGGGCCCCTATACCGCCTCCTCATGCTGCTGCCAGGTCCAGAGTGTCTCATGGGTCCCTGTACGCCTCCCATTGCTGCTGTCTCCATCGCCACACACTGCCATGCCACTGTGTTCCATGGTTTTTGTCATAGGGTGCTGGCAGATTACGGGCCTCCCATAGCTGCTGCCAGGCCCCTAAATCTGCCATGGGCCCCTATACCGCCTCCTCATGCTGCTGCCAAGTCCAGAGTCTCTCATGGGTCCCTGTACCTCCCATTGCTGCTGTCTCCATCGCCACACTCTGCCATGTGCCACTTTCAGGTCTCCTCACACACACTGCTGGTGTGTTCCATTTTTTGACATAGGGTGCTGGCAGATTACGGGCCTCCCATAGCTGCTGCCAGGCCCCTAATCTGCCATGGGCCCCTATACCGCCTCCTCATGCTGCTGCCAGGTCCAGAGTCTCTCATGGGTCCCTGTACGGCCTCCCATTGTGCTGTCTCCATCGCCATGCCATGTGCCACTTTCAGGTCTCCTCACACACTGCTGGTGTGTTTCAATTTTTTGACATAGGGTGCTGGCAGATTACGGGCCTCCCATAGCTGCTGCCAGGCCCCTAATCTGCCATGGGCCCCTATATACTATACCTCCTCCTCCTCATGCTGCTGCCAGGTCCAGAGTCTCTCATGGGTCCCTGTACGGCCTCCCATTGCTGCTGTCTCCATCGCCACACTCTCTGCCATGTGCCACTTTCAGGTCTCCTCACACACTGCTGGTGTGTTCCATTTTTTGTCATAGGGTGCTGGCAGATTACGGGCCTCCCATAGCTGCTGCCAGGCCCCTAATCTGCCATGGGCCCCTATACCGCCTCCTCATGCTGCTGCCAGGTCCAGAGTCTCTCATGGGTCCCTGTACGGCCTCCCATTGCTGCTGTCTCCATCGCCACACTGCCATGTGCCACTTTCAGGTCTCCTCACACACTGCTGGTGTGTTCCATTTTTTTGACATAGGGTGCTGGCAGATTACGGGCCTCCCATAGCTGCTGCCAGGCCCCTAATCTGCCATGGGCCCCTATACCGCCTCCTCATGCTGCTGCCAGGTCCAGAGTCTCTCTCATGGGTCCCTGTACGGCCTCCCATTGCTGCTGTCTCCATCGCCACACTCTGCCATGTGCCACTTTCAGGTCTCCTCACACTGCTGGTGTGTTCCATTTTTTGACATAGGGTGCTGGCAGATTACGGGCCTCCCATAGCTGCTGCCAGGCCCCTAATCTGCCATGGGCCCCTATACCGCCTCCTCATGCTGCTGCCAGGTCCAGAGTCTCTCATGGGTCCCTGTACGGCCTCCCATTGCTGCTGTCTCCATCGCCACACTCTGCCATGTGCCACTTTCAGGTCTCCTCACACACTGCTGGTGTGTTCCATTTTTTGACATAGGGTGCTGGCAGATTACGGGCCCTCCCATAGCTGCTGCCAGGCCCCTAATCTGCCATGGGCCCCTATACCGCCTCCTCATGCTGCTGCCAAGGTCCAGAGTCTCTCATGGGTCCCTGTACGGCCTCCCATTGCTGCTGTCTCCATCGCCACACTCTGCCATGTGCCACTTTCAGGTCTCCTCACACACACTGCTGGTGTGTTCCATTTTTTGACATAGGGTGCTGGCAGATTACGGGCCTCCCATAGCTGCTGCCAGGCCCCTAATCTGCCATGGGCCCCCTATACCGCCTCCTCATGCTGCTGCCAGGTCCAGAGTCTCTCATGGGTCCCTGTACGGCCTCCCATTGCTGCTGTCTCCATCGCCACACTCTGCCATGTGTGCCACTTTCAGGTCTCCTCACACACTGCTGGTGTGTTCCATTTTTTTTTGACATAGGGTGCTGGCAGATTACGGGCCTCCCATAGCTGCTGCCAGGCCCCTAATCTGCCATGGGCCCCTGTACCCCTCCTCATGCTGCTGCCAGGTCCAGAGTCTCTCATGGGTCCCTGTACGGCCTCCCATTGCTGCTGTCTCCATCGCCACACTTTCATGTGTCCACTTTCAGGTCTCCTCACACACTGCTGGTGTGTTCATTTTTTGACATAGGGTGCTGGCAGATTACGGGCCTCCCATAGCTGCTGCCAGGCCCCTAATCTGCCATGGGCCCCTATACCGCCTCCTCATGCTGCTGCCAGGTCCAGAGTCTCTCATGGGTCCCTGTACGGCCTCCCATTGCTGCTGTCTCCATCGCCACACTCTGCCCATGTGCCACTTTCAGGTCTCCTCACACACTGCTGGTGTGTTCAATTTTTTGACATAGGGTGCTGGCAGATTACGGGCCTCCCATAGCTGCTGCCAGGCCCCTAATCTGCCATGGGCCCCTATATACCGCCTCCTCATGCTGCTGCCAGGTCCAGAGTGTCTCATGGGTCCCTGTACGGCCTCCCATTGCTGCTGTCTCCATCGCCACACTCTGCCATGTGCCACTTTCAGGTCTCCTCACACACTGCTGGTGTGTTCCATTTTTTTGACATAGGGTGCTGGCAGATTACGGGCCTCCCCCATAGCTGCTGCCAGGCCCCTAATCTGCCATGGGCCCCTATACCGCCTCCTCATGCTGCTGCCAAGTCCAGTCTCTCATGGGTCCCTGTACGGCCCCCATTGCTGCTGTCTCCATCGCCACACTCTGCCATGTGCCACTTTCAGGTCTCCTCACACACTGCTGCTGTGTGTCCATTTTTTGACATAGGGTGCTGGCAGATTACGGGCCTCCCATAGCTGCGGGCCCCTCCCATGGCTGCTGCCAGGCCCCTCATCCATGTGCCACTTTCAGGTCCCTCACACTGCTGGTGTGTTCCATTTTTTGTCATAGGGTGCTGGCAGATTACGGGCCTCCCATAGCTGCTGCCAGGCCCCTAATCTGCCATGGGCCCCTGTACCGCCTCCTCATGCTGCTGCCAGTCCAGCTCATGGTCCACCAGTGCTGCTGTCTGCCACTCTGCCATGTGCCACTTTCAGGTCTCCTCACACACTGCTGGTGTGTTCCATTTTTTGACATAGGGTGCTGGCAGATTACGGGCCTCCCATAGCTGCTGCCAGGCCCCTAATCTGCCATGGGCCCCTATACCGCCTCCTCATGCTGCTGCCAGGTCCAGAGTCTCTCATGGGTCCCTGTACGGCCTCCCATTGCTGCTGTCTCCATCGCCACACTCTGCCATGTGCCACTTTCAGGTCTCCTCACACACTGCTGGTGTGTGTTATTTTTTGTCATAGGGTGCTGGCAGATTACGGGCCTCCCATAGCTGCTGCCAGGCCCCTAATCTGCCATGGGCCCCTGTACCGCCTCCTCATGCTGCTGCCAGGTCCAGAGTCTCTCATGGGTCCCTGTACGGCCTCCCATTGCTGCTGTCTCCATCGCCACACTCTGCCATGTGCCACTTTCAGGTCTCCTCACACTGCTGGTGTGTTCCATTTTTTGACATAGGGTGCTGGCAGATTACGGGCCTCCCATAGCTGCTGCCAGGCCCCTAATCTGCCATGGGCCCCTATACCGCCTCCTCATGCTGCTGCCAGGTCCAGAGTCCTCATGGGTCCCTGTACGGCCTCCCATTGCTGCTGTCTCCATCGCCACACTCTGCCATGTGCCACTTTCAGGTCTCCTCACACACTGCTGGTGTGTTCAATTTTTTGACATAGGGTGCTGGCAGATTACGGGCCTCCCATAGCTGCTGCCAGGCCCCTAATCTGCCATGGGCCCCTGTACCGCCTCCTCATGCTGCTGCCAGGTCCAGAGTCTCTCATGGGTCCATGTGCCTCCCATTGCTCAGGTCTCCTCACACTGCTGGTGTGTGTTGTTCCATTTTTTGACATAGGGTGCTGGCAGATTACGGGCCTCCCATAGCTGCTGCCAGGCCCCTAATCTGCCATGGGCCCCTATACCGCCTCCTCATGCTGCTGCCAGGTCCAGAGTCTCTCATGGGTCCCTGTACGGCCTCCCATTGCTGCTGTCTCCATCGCCACACTCTGCCATGTGCCACTTTCAGGTCTCCTCACACACTGCTGGTGTGTTCAATTTTTTTGACATAGGGTGCTGGCAGATTACGGCCTCCCATAGCTGCTGCCAGGCCCCTAATCTGCCATGGGCCCCTATACCGCCTCCTCATGCTGCTGCCAGGTCCAGAGTCTCTCATGGGGAGGAACCCAGTGTCCCATGAACAGAGTCTCCTCGACACTGCTGCTGTCTCCGCGCAAACTGAAAATCGGGTGCCATGTTGACCGGCACGGATACTGAACTGGTGTGCTGCCATGCTCTGCTGTCAAGGAAGGTCGTGTGCCATGCCATGCCCCTATGGGCCTCCCATGCTGCTGCTCACGTGTTCAATCTGCCATGTCAAGCTTGCAGGTCCTAACTCCACCATCCCACTGCATAGGGTGCTGGCAGATGTCACGGGCCTCCCATACTGCTGCATGCCCCTTTCAGCCATTGCTGCACCGCATGCTGCACACCCTCTTGCTGCAGCACTCTGCCATGTGCCACAGCATCGCCTGATCTGCGACGTCTCCACACACTGCTGGTGTGTTTCAATTTTTTGACATAGGGTGCTGGCAGATTACGGGCCTCCCATAGCTGCTGCCAGGCCCCTAATCTGCCATGGGCCCCTATACCGCCTCCTCATGCTGCTGCCAGATTTCAGAGTGTTACAAGCGGGTCCCTGTAAAGGTACTCCCCTGTGCTGCTGTCTCCATGTCCCATTGGCAGCTCATGCGTGACACCTGCCGCTTGCTCAGGCCCCTTTGAGGAGGCCAGGCCACGCTATTCGTGAGTCGGCAGGACTATGGGATGAACGACGTCATTCCTTCCTCTGTTGCACGTCTGTGCCTGGAAAATGCTGTTAACAATGGCTGGTCAGGGTGCGGTCCCATCATGACGTGCGCAGATCTCATCTCATGGGTCCCTGTACGGCCTCCCATGACCTGCTGTGCTGGGGGCAGGACCAAGGAAGAAGAGAGGAGGTAGAGGAGGACATTGGTGCTCAGGAATTATTGAGTGAAATGGGTGGTTTTTTCCACTCAGCGGCAGGAGTGGAGGAGCAGGAGCATCTGGTAGAGGAGGAGGAGCCCCTAGACAGAGGACCAGGACGCTCCGTGGCAGTATGCTGTGGAGATGGAGTCACTAGGGAGTCCCTCGCATTCCTTGGCCCCTAATCAAATGGGCCCCATAGCATGCTCGGTTGCTTGCTGCGTAGCGACAGCCGAATAATAACCATCAGACAGAGGGATCCTTTTGGCTGTCCACCTTGTTGGACCCTCTGCCATACCGTTCAAAAATGGTGGCCTCCTCACACCTGCTGCCCCTAGAGGGTGGCCAAAATTTTTTGTACTATAAAAACCACTGGTAGTCAGTTGGTCTCTCTCCTTGCTGCTGCTGCTGCTAACGTCCATCCTCAGACATGGTGTGGGCCCTGTGCGCTCCTTCCGCTGCCATGGCAGCAAAGGAGGGGTGGGGTGGGTAGGAGCAGTGGCAGCTCCACCAGCAGCGGCTGCCTCAGTCTGCAGTCGATGATGAGTAGCTTTCTTCACCAGCGCAGTGAGGAAACTAGTCACCACACGCTGCAGCAGCAGCATTTTTTGGACCTGGAGCAGGACCTCAAACAACAGGCTTGGGCCTACTTGGGCAGCACCCTGCCAACCGCCAGGTAGACAATCCCTGACTATGGGCAACGAAACTTGACCTTTGGCCCCCTCTAGCTGCTTTGCCCTTGAAAGGCTGTCATGCCCGGCCAGTCCATTGCTGCTGTCTCCATCGCCAGCTGCCATGTGTTTTAGTTTCAGCCTCACACACTGCTGGTGTGGTATTTTTTGTGACTCCGCGGGGACACAGATTACGGGCCTCCCATAGCTGCTGCCAGAGACTCACGTTTGTGGGCCAGGCCCCTGGCTGCTAGTCTGGATTTCAACCCACCAGTTCCTGCTGTGACTGTCCGCCATCGCCACACATGCCATGCCATGTGCCACTTTCAGGTCTCCTCACACTGCTGGTGTGTTCCATTTTTTGTCATAGGGTGCTGGCAGATTACGGGCCTCCCATAGCTGCTGCCAGGCCCCTAATCTGCCATGGGCCCCTATACCGCCTCCTCATGCTGCTGCCAGGTCCAGAGTCTCTCATGGGTCCCTGTACGGCCTCCCATTGCTGCTGTCTCCATCGCCACACTCTGCCATGTGCCACTTTCAGGTCTCCTCACACACTGCTGGTGGTGTGTTTCCATTTTTTGTCATAGGGTGCTGGCAGATTACGGGCCTCCCATAGCTGCTGCCAGGCCCCTAATCTGCCATGGGCCCCTGTACCGCCTCCTCATGCTGCTGCCAGGTCCAGAGTCTCATGGGTCCCTGCTGCCATGGTCCACAGTGTCTCTCCATGCCACACTCTGCCATGTGCCACTTTCAGGTCTCCTCACACTGCTGGTGTGTTCAATTTTTTGACATAGGGTGTGCTGGCAGATTACGGGCCTCCCATAGCTGCTGCCAGGCCCCTAATCTGCCATGGGCCCCTATACCGCCTCCTCATGCTGCTGCCAGGTCCAGAGTCCTCATCATGGGTCCCTGTACGGCCTCCCATTGCTGCTGTCTCCATGCCACACTCTGCCATGTGCCACTTTCAGGTCTCCTCACACTGCTGGTGTGTTCAATTTTTTGACATAGGGTGCTGGCAGATTACGGGCCTCCCATAGCTGCTGCCAGGCCCCTGCCATGGGCCCCTATACCGCCTCCTCATGCTGCTGCTGCCAGGTCCAGAGTCTCTCATGGGTCCCTGTACGGCCTCCACATTGCTGCTGTCTCCATCGCCACACTCTGCCATGTGCCACTTTCAGGTCTCCTCACACTGCTGGTGTGTTGAATTTTTTTTTTGACATAGGGTGCTGGGCAGATTACGGGCCTCCCATAGCTGCTGCCAGGCCCCTAATCTGCCATGGGCCCCTATATACCGCCTCCTCATGCTGCTGCCAGGTCCAGAGTCTGTCATGGGTCCCTGTACGGCCTCCCATTGCTGCTGTCTCCATCGCCACACTCTGCCATGTGCCACTTTCAGGTCTCCTCACACACTGCTGGTGTGTTGAATTTTTTGACATAGGGTGCTGGCAGATTACGGGCCTCCCATAGCTGCTGCCAGGCCCCTAATCTGCCATGGGCCCCTATACCGCCTCCTCATGCTGCTGCCAAGTCCAGAGTCTGTCATGGGTCCCTGTACGGCCTCCCATTGCTGCTGTCTCCATCGCCACACTCTGCCATGTGCCACTTTCAGGTCTCCTCACACTGCTGGTGTGTTGAATTTTTTTGACATAGGGTGCTGGCAGATTACGGGCCTCCCATAGCTGCTGCCAGGCCCCTAATCTGCCATGGGCCCCTGTACCGCCTCCTCCTCATGCTGCTGCCAGGTCCAGAGTCTCTCATGGGTCCCTGTACGGCCTCCCATTGTGTGTGTCTCCATCGCCACACTCTGCCATGTGCCACTTTCAGGTCTCCTCACACTGCTGGTGTGTTGAATTTTTTGACATAGGGTGCTGGCAGATTACGGGCCTCCCATAGCTGCTGCCAGGCCCCTAATCTGCCATGGGCCCCTATACCGCCTCCTCATGCTGCTGCCCAGTCCAGAGTCTGTCATGGGTCCCTGTACGGCCTCCCATTGCTGCTGTCTCCATCGCCACACTCTGCTGCCATGTGCCACTTTCAGGTCTCCTCACACTGCTGGTGTGTTGAATTTTTTTGACATAGGGTGCTGGCAGATTACGGGCCTCCCATAGCTGCTGCCAGGCCCCTAATCTGCCATGGGCCCCTATACCGCCTCCTCATGCTGCTGCCAGGTCCAGAGTCTGTCATGGGTCCCTGTACGGCCTCCCATTGCTGCTGTCTCCATCGCCACACTCTGCCATGTGCCACTTTCAGGTCTCCTCACACACTGCTGGTGTGTTGAATTTTTTGACATAGGGTGCTGGCAGATTACGGGCCTCCCATAGCTGCTGCCAGGCCCCTAATCTGCCATGGGCCCCTATACCGCCTCCTCATGCTGCTGCCAGGTCCAGCTGCATGGGTCCCTGTACGGCCTCCATTGCTGCTGTCTCCATCGCCACACTCTGCCATGTGCCACTTTCAGGTCTCCTCACACTGCTGGTGTGTTTCCATTTTTTGACATAGGGTGCTGGCAGATTACGGGCCTCCCATAGCTGCTGCCAGGCCCCTAATCTGCCATGGGCCCCTATACCGCCTCCTCATGCTGCTGCCAAGTCCAGAGTCTCTCATGGGTCCCTGTACGGCCTCCCATTGCTGCTGTCTCCATCGCCACACTCTGCCATGTGCCACTTTCAGGTCTCCTCACACACTGCTGGTGTGTTGAATTTTTTGACATAGGGTGCTGGCAGATTACGGGCCTCCCATAGCTGCTGCCAGGCCCCTAATCTGCCATGGGCCCCTGTACCGCCTCCTCATGCTGCTGCTGCCAGGTCCAGTCTGTCATGGGTCCCTGTACGGCCTCCCATGTGCCACTCCATTCTGCCATGTGCCACTTTCAGGTCTCCTCACACTGCTGGTGTGTTCAATTTTTTGACATAGGGTGCTGGCAGATTACGGGCCTCCCATAGCTGCTGCCAGGCCCCTAATCTGCCATGGGCCCCTATACCGCCTCCTCATGCTGCTGCCAGGTCCAGAGTCTGTCATGGGTCCCTGTACGGCCTCCCATTGCTGCTGTCTCATGCCATAGGGTCTGCCATGTGCCCAGCGCTTGTGTGCTTTCAGGTCTCCTCACACTGCTGCTGGTTGTTCAATTTTTTGACATAGGGTGCTGGCAGATTACGGGCCTCCTAGCTGCTGCCAGGCCCCTAATCTGCCATGGGCCCCTGTACCGCCTCCCAGGTCCATGCTGCTGCCCTGTACGGCATTGCTGCTGTCTCACAGTGTCTCTGCCATGTGCCACTTTCAGGTCTCCTCACACTGCTGGTGTGTTCAATTTTTTGACATAGGGTGCTGGCAGATTACGGGCCTCCCATAGCTGCTGCCAGGCCCCTAATCTGCCATGGGCCCCTATACCGCCTCCTCATGCTGCTGCCAGGTCCAGAGTCTCTCATGGGTCCCTGTACGGCCTCCCATTGCTGCTGTCTCCATCGCCACACTCTGCCATGTGCCACTTTCAGGTCTCCTCACACACTGCTGGTGTGTTCCAATTTTTTTTGACATAGGGTGCTGGCAGATTACGGGCCTCCCATAGCTGCTGCCAGGCCCCTAATCTGCCATGGGGCCCCCCTGTACCGCCTCCTCATGCTGCTGCCAGGTCCACAGTGTCTCATGCCATGTGCCACTTTCAGGTCTCCTCACACTGCTGGTGTGTTCCATTTTTTGACATAGGGTGCTGGCAGATTACGGGCCTCCATAGCTGCTGCTCAGGCCCCTAATCTGCCATGGGCCCCTGTACCGCCTCCTCATGCTGCTGCATCCAGAGTCTCTCAGGGTCCCAGTGTACGGCCTCCCATTGCTGCTGCTCCATCGCCACACTTTGCATGGCCTCCTTTCAGGTGCTGCACACTGCCCCTGTTCAATTTTTTGACATAGGGTGCTGGCAGATTACGGGCCTCCTCATAGCTGCTGCCAGGCCATGGGCCCCTATACCGCCTCTGCTGCTGCCATGGGTCCCTGTGGGTCCCTGTACGGCCTCCCATTGCTGCCAGTCCCATGTCACACTCTGCCATGTGCCACTTTCAGGTCTCCTCACACTGCTGGTGTGTTCAATTTTTTGACATAGGGTGCTGGCAGATTACGGGCCTCCCATAGCTGCTGCCAGGCCCCTAATCTGCCATGGGCCCCTGACCGCCTCCTCATGCTGCTGCTGAGTCTGCCATGGGTCCACGGCCTCCCATTGCTGTGTCTCCATGCCATGCCATGTGCCACTTTCAGGTCTCCTCACACACTGCTGGTGTGTTCAATTTTTTGACATAGGGTGCTGGCAGATTACGGGCCTCCCATAGCTGCTGCCAGGCCCCTAATCTGCCATGGGCCCCTATACCGCCTCCTCATGCTGCTGCCAGGTCCAGAGTCTCATGGGTCCCTGTACGGCCTCCCATTGCTGCTGTCTCCATCGCCACACTCTGCCATGTGCCACTTTCAGGTCTCCTCACACACTGCTGGTGTGTTGAATTTTTTGACATAGGGTGCTGGCAGATTACGGGCCTCCCATAGCTGCTGCCAGGCCCCTAATCTGCCATGGGCCCCTATACCGCCTCCTCATGCTGCTGCCAGGTCCAGAGTCTGTCATGGGTCCCTGTACGGCCTCCCATTGCTGCTGTCTCCATCGCCACACTCTGCCATGTGCCACTTTCAGGTCTCCTCACACTGCTGGTGTGTTGAATTTTTTGACATAGGGTGCTGGCAGATTACGGGCCTCCCATAGCTGCTGCCAGGCCCCTAATCTGCCATGGGCCCCTATACCGCCTCCTGCATGCTGCTGCCAGGTCCAGAGTCTGTCATGGGTCCCTGTACGGCCTCCCATTGCTGCTGTCTCCATCGCCACACTCTGCCATGTGCCACTTTCAGGTCTCCTCACACTGCTGGTGTGTTGAATTTTTTTTTTTGACATAGGGTGCTGGCAGATTACGGGCCTCCCATAGCTGCTGCCAGGCCCCTAATCTGCCATGGGCCCCTATACCGCCTCCTCATGCTGCTGCCAGGTCCAGAGTCTCTCATGGGTCCCTGTACGGCCTCCCATTGCTGCTGTCTCATCGCCACACTGCCATGTGCCACTTTCAGGTCTCCTCACACTGCTGGTGTGTTGAATTTTTTGACATAGGGTGCTGGCAGATTACGGGCCTCCCATAGCTGCTGCCAGGCCCCTAATCTGCCATGGGCCCCTATACCGCCTCCTCATGCTGCTGCCAGGTCCAGAGTCTGTCATGGGTCCCTGTACGGCCTCCCATTGCTGCTCCATCGCCACACTCTGCCATGTGCCACTTTCAGGTCTCCTCACACTGCTGGTGTGTTCAATTTTTTGACATAGGGTGCTGGCAGATTACGGGCCTCCCATAGCTGCTGCCAGGCCCCTAATCTGCCATGGGCCCCTATACCGCCTCCTCATCTGCTGCTGCCAGGTCCAGAGTCTGTCATGGGTCCCTGTACGGCCTCCCATTGCTGCTGTCTCCATCGCCACACTCTGCCATGTGCCACTTTCAGGTCTCCTCACACTGCTGGTGTGTTTGAATTTTTTGACATAGGGTGCTGGCAGATTACGGGCCTCCCATAGCTGCTGCCAGGCCCCTAATCTGCCATGGGCCCCTGTACCGCCTCCTCATGCTGCTGCCAGGTCCAGAGTGTCATGGGTCCCTGTACGCCATGTGCTGTCTCCATCGCCACACTCTGCCATGTGCCACTTTCAGGTCTCCTCACACTGCTGGTGTGTTGAATTTTTTGACATAGGGTGCTGGCAGATTACGGGCCTCCCATAGCTGCTGCCAGGCCCCTAATCTGCCATGGCCCCTATATACCGCCTCCTCATGCTGCTGCCAAGTCCAGAGTCTGTCATGGGTCCCTGTACGGCCTCCCATTGCTGCTGTCTCCATCGCCACACTCTCTGCCATGTGCCACTTTCAGGTCTCCTCACACACTGCTGGTGTGTTGAATTTTTTTTGACATAGGTGCTGGCAGATTACGGGCCTCCCATAGCTGCTGCCAGGCCCCCCTAATCTGCCATGGGCCCCTGTACCGCCTCCTCATGCTGCTGCCAGGTCCCACAGTACGGCCTCCCATTGCTGCTGTCTCCATCGCCATGCCATGTGCCACTTTCAGGTCTCCTCACACTGCTGGTGTGTTGAATTTTTTGACATAGGGTGCTGGCAGATTACGGGCCTCCCATAGCTGCTGCCAGGCCCCTAATCTGCCATGGGCCCCTATACCGCCTCCTCATGCTGCTGCCAAGTCCAGAGTCTGTCATGGGTCCCTGTACGGCCTCCCATTGCTGCTGTCTCCATCGCCACACTCTGCCATGTGCCACTTTCAGGTCTCCTCACACACTGGTGTGTTGAATTTTTTGACATTGGGTGCTGGCAGATTACGGGCCTCCCATAGCTGCTGCCAGGCCCCTAATCTGCCATGGGCCCCTGTACCGCCTCCTCATGCTGCTGCCAGGTCCACAGTGTCTCATGCCATGTCCCACTTTCAGGTCTCCCATGTGCACTTTCAGGTCTGCTCACACACTGTGTGTTTCAATTTTTTGACATAGGGTGCTGGCAGATTACGGGCCTCCTATAGCTGCTGCCAGGCCCCTAATCTGCCATGGGCCCCTATACCGCCTCCTCATGCTGCTGCCAGGTCCAGAGTCTCTCATGGGTCCCTGTACGGCCTCCCATTGCTGCTGTCTCCATCGCCACACTCTGCCATGTGCCACTTTCAGGTCTCCTCACACACTGCTGGTGTGTTGAATTTTTTGACATAGGGTGCTGGCAGATTACGGGCCTCCCATTGCTGCTGCCAGGCCCGTAATCTGCCATGGGCCCCCGTACCGACTCCTCATGCTGTGACGTTGCAACAAGGTTGTGGAATTCAACCCTACATATGTTAGACCGCCTTTACGAACAGCAAAAGGCCATCACAGATTTCCTGATGTTAAAAGCGGATAAAGGTACTCCCTGTGTAACTTAGATGTCAGCCATTGGCAGCTCATGCGTGACACCTGCGCTTGCTCAGGCCCTTTGAGGAGGCCACGCTATTCGTGAGTCGGCAGGACTATGGGATGAACGACGTCATTCCTCTGTTGCACGTCCTGGAACAAATGCTGTTAACAATGGCTGGTCAGGGTGCGGTAGACGTGGCGCACAGATCTCAACGCCACATGACCCCTGTGGGGGCAGGACAGGAAGAAGAGGAGGAGGTAGAGGAGGACATTGGTGCTCAGGAATTATTGAGTGAAATGGGTGGTTTTTCCACTCAGCGGACAGGAGTGGAGGAGCAGGAGCATCTGGTAGAGGAGGAGGAAGAGGAGACAGAGGACCCAGACGCACCGTGGCAGTATGCTGTGGAGATGGAGGCAGGGAGTCCCTCGCATTCCTTGGCACAAATGGCCCATAGCATGCTCGCTTGCTTGCGTACCGACAGCCGAATAATAACCATCAGACAGAGGGATGACTTTTGGCTGTCCACCTTGTTGGACCCTCGCTACCGTTCAAAAATGGTGGCCTTTTTCACACCTGCTGAGAGGGAGGCCAAAATAACGTACTATAAAAACCACCTATGTAGTCAGCTGGTCTCTGCCTGTCTGCGCCAACGTCCATCCTCAGACACTGTGGGCCCTGTGCGCTCGCGTTCCGCTGCCATGGCAGCAGGGGAGGGGTGGGGTGGTAGGAGCAGTGGCAGCTCCACCAGCAGCAGCTGCCTCAGTCTGCAGTCGATGATGAGTAGCTTTCTTCACCAGCGCAGTGAGGAAACTACTAACCAGCCGCAGCAGCAGCAGCAGCAGCAGCATCAGGTGGACCTGGAGCAGGACCTCAAACAACAGGCTTAGGCCTA